TATTTGGCTAAAATGTGATGTAAAAAAAATTAGTATGTTTGGAATGACTTTTTGGCTTTTTATGAAAAGATGTGCAAAAAGTAGAGATAAAAGGGAATCTTTGACTTTTTGGTATGGGTTGTTGGCTTTTTTATTTTTTTAGTAACTTTTTGCCTTTTTGGTTAAACCGGCCGCTTCCCAAACGTTACTATCCATACTTCTACTTACTAGCTATCAACTGACTTAGTTGTCTAACATTTTCAGGTGTGAGAAGGATTTAGAGTGGACTCATGGTGCAGTGGGGACTCTGTTGCATGGACCTATAGGACATTTATGTTACTTATTTTTAGCTAGTTATGTCAATTTGTGCATACATCTTGGCAGAGACTCATTTAGAATTATTTTATCGTGTGGTTATTTGTGTCCCATTTAGTATATATTTTCTAAGTTGGATATGGCTGGTTCTGACATTTATACTTGTGACATGTCACTGGATTGAGTTTTGGTTTATTTATTACTGGGCTATTATTACAATTATTTTATGTGATTATGGATTTGTGTTTAGGCTTACGTGTGCCTTAGGTTAAGGCCTTGTGAGCCACAACCGGTCATGCCGGAGTTTAAGGTGTGATGGTGAAAATTTCTTAGTTTATACCATAACTTTCTGTTTTTAACCCTAAGCTAATAAACTGATGCCCTCCATTGCCAAAATGTTCATTTTTTTAAGTATAAATATTTAATATTTGATCAATCTTAATAGTTTGAATAAAATAATTTTATTCAAATATAAATAGTTGAATATTTTATAAATATTTAATTCTGGTTGTCTGAATATGTGACGAATGAATAAGCCATCTTCTGTACAAATGCGATAAAACAAAAAAGTAAATTGATTTTTTCATTGTTGTATTGTTTCAAATTAACAATCTGAACGTCATTCATGTTGTACAAATTTTCAAAACTAATTGATTTCAATATTCTTAAAATCATAAATCTTGAAAGGCAATAATGTTTTCAATTTAAAAAATAATGGTGAAGATTATAATGGCAAAGATGATGAGTGTAGTATGTTAGATTATAATAGTGAAGATAAACAATGTTGGATGAGTGTTGGAAGAGAGATTTATTCTAAAAGATATACTGTATAGATGATGGTGTGTAAAGAGAAATTTATATTTTCATATGTGAATTATTTGAATGAGTACATACACCTATATCATCTTTAATAATCATTTTATTTAAAGATATTATTACCATATAAATTTAATAATTAAATAATGTATACTAAAAAGAGATTTATAGTGTATAAATAGAATCTCTCATCTCTTTTTAATCTTCTCTAAAATGACTAAAGCAAGCTCATCTATTTTTAATGTCAACTTTAGTGTTAACCTATTATTATATGATTCAACCGCAATGAGTTGGTTTACGAGCCCAACACTCCACTTCCTACTCATCTTTAACGACACATTGGTCTTGCACGTGGATGTACAGGATTAGGTTATGGAATACCTAAAAAATTATAGCATGTAAGCAGGGAAAAAATGTGAACTATATTTAACTTTATTACACATTTTGGAAATATATATTGTATATTTTTGTGATAAGTGTTACGTGTGTTTTTAATAGAATTATGATAATTTATAATTTACAAATAAAATTATATATTTTTGTAATAAAATTACATATTTTGTGGTTCAAATTTTTTTGATAAAAAAATGTATAATATTATCACAATAACTTTATTTTTTAACTACAAATGATCGTAACTCTATCAAAAGATCATTATATAACATTTATCATAAAAATATACAATTTATATCACAAAAATATATAATAAATTGCATATTTACATATATGGATAAGAAAATTATCAAATTATTTCACTTGCAAGATTGACACTACAACCAAGGTTTAAACTAGAAATAAAACATTATGTGGGTTTAACAAATTTCTATAAGTGGAGAGATTCGTTTCCAAATCTTCAGATTCTTCTCATTTTAAATGAATAAATGGACTTAATTAACAATACTGCCTTCATGAGCATGTTGTTCTAATGGGGTACACATTCTATCATCATCATTTTTTATTTCTATTTTTAAAGATAATATTTTTGATGCAGTTCTAAATATGGATAGGGTCCTTAGTTCATACTATTTTGGGTGGATAAAAGCTATCAACTTGGGGAAAAAGAAGTAACCAAATACATTAGTGGATATGTATGTGTGGCTGCTTGGTTGGTTGTTTGTGGTGTTTCTGTGAGTCCTGATTGGGCATTCACTTAGGTGGTGGTTTTGTTTTGCTTTGTTGGTTGGTTTCTAATCAATATCTCGTTTGGTGTTGTCATATATTGGGTATATTTTTTGGTACCAACTTAATTAAAATCGGTTAGTTCCACTATAATGACATATTCATTTGTCTTTGCTGTATTCTGTATGTTATTTGATATATTCATTAATAAGAATTTCTTTTTTTTTTTATCAAAAAAAAAAAAATGTAGTTTATATTTTAGTTTTAGTAAAATGAATCAAATTGCTAAATTTTGATTCTATTCAACTCGTTAAAAAATTATTTAAAATTGATGTAAATACATTAAATTTAAATGCATTTTTAAATTCGTTAAATATTTTAAGTTAAATTTGAATAACATATTATTTGGGTCGATAAGGTGTGTATTATAAAAAACTAAGTTGTTTGTACTTTTGTTATCTGTATGGTTGAAACTTGTTTGAGATCAGCAATCTCAAGGGTTGGCTTAGCGGGCACAACTTAGAGCTTGGAAGTATACTTCCTCCAGGTCTCAGGTTTAATATTCACTAAAGTTTCTTGGGGCCAGTTCATATAAGACTTTGCTTGACTTTAAAATCATCCTAATAATTAGATCAAAAGTAGGTTCGAAGAAGCAACCTACCTTCCTCCCACGCCCTCAACAAGGAATGAAACATTGAGGAATTTTAAGGGAATAAAAATTTGATTTCAGGTTCTTACAATTCTATCATTTTTTTTTTATCGGCAAAGAAAACTTTATTGATGAAGCACGTACATAGTACAATGGAAAACATCAATAAAGAGGAGCTAGGAGCTAAACCGAGCTCAAACCTCCTAGTTGGTGAGAAACCAACAAAAAGAGAGAAAAAGAAAACAAAAAACAACAGCAAAGAACAAGCAAAGAAATACATAATAGAACCAAAAATAGCATACAAAACACTGCAATGCACTGCACAAGACTTCAACAGAAGCAGATCAAACACCCAGAAACAAAACCAGGGCAGTTATGAACAGCAGACAGAAGAGGTAGACTTCAACAGAGGCAGAGTATATTACAGGGCAGATTACAACAGAACAAACAGACTTCAATCCAGATAGCTGCATAGCAGTTTCCAATAGATAGCTGAAAACTCCAAAAAAAAAAAAACAGTAAGCTCCACCCTTGATCTGTCTCCAGTTGAAGACAAGATCATCAACTGTGTAGGGGAAATCCTTAATGGAAGCTTTGAGCCAAACTGCAGATCTGAACTTGATGAGTTCTAGAAGACCAGAAGAGATGGGTTGTGCATTAGAAAACACACATTCATTTTTAAGTTTCCAAATAGACCAAAGAACAATTAAGAGGATTGCTCTCCAAATTAATCTGTCAAACTTATGAAATTTTCCACTCATCCACCAAGAAAGGAGACCATCGACTGATTTAGGAATACACCAATATAATCCCCATTCCTCAACAATTGCAGACCAGATTGACCAAGAAAAAGGGCAATGCAGCAGGACATGAGAAGAAGACTCCAATTCAGAGCTGCAAAAGTGACAGAGGGGTGAAGCATTGCTGTCCAGGATACCAATCTTGAGCAAAAAATCTGAACATTTGATCTTATTTTTCCAGGCCAGCCAAAAAAAGAAAAAGAAACTCTGGGGGCCAATAAAGAGTTCCAAACACATTTGCATACCTTAAGCTGAGGGCCAAGAAGAGATGAATTGTGAGAATAGAGGGTAGAAACAGAAAATCCAGACACAGAATCAGGGTTTCAATTCTATCATTTGAAACTTATTGGAAAGAAAAAGTGATTTCTGATCTATGAAGCACACATACTTCAAATAGAGTGACGTATCCGTATCGGATACCGATACTCCTTTGATACTTGCGGATACGTATCGGATACTTATTAAAAGTATCGGATACTTCTTAATTATTTTTGCATTAATTTTGGAGTATCGGATACTTAATTTTGAAGTATTGGATATTTCAAGTCATGTTTACTTGCTTTAAGAAATTAGAATTGTAACATTTCTAGCATAGTAATATAATATAATATAATTGCAAGTATAAATATAAGAATATTTTTCTAATACTTTGTTAAGTTCTTCGATAAGAAGAACATACTGAGTTAAATAATAGAATTTATCAAATTGATGTATCCTAATTATTTCATGCATGTCCCCTATAACTACATAGAAAGTAAGAATTAACAAGAGAATATAACAATGGTAAATTAAATATTAATGAATAAACAAGCAAGTAAACTTAAATATAATATTTTTCACTAGTGTCAAAGAAAAAAGCATAAGGACAAGTTGTGAATTGTTCTATTATTGTAATATAAATATATTAAACTTGATATTGAAATGAAATATTTACAAGACCTATTAAAAATTTAAAAAGTAATAAGCTACTAACTTAAATTAATACAAAATTCTTAAATGTTAGTATTTTGCATTATAAAATTATATTGTGATTTCTCAACATTCTTTAGCTCATGTATAACTCACTATTAATAATTTTAAAAAATATATTTTTCACAGACGTATTCTAGCCGTACCGGTATCCTATTTTTTAAAGTTTTATCGTATCGCCGTATCCGTATCGTGTAGTATCCGTATCTCGTATCCGTATGTATGCTTCCTAGTTTCTGATTATATATTCAAACTAGAATTACTTTTACAAACTAAGCAGGAATCTAATTCCACAATCTCCATAGTAATCTCACATTCTTGAAGCAATGTCAACCATTTAAAGGTATAAGTGCTAGTGTTATTGTTGCTCTTCTTCAGCGTTCAAACCATACATTACTTATATTGTACAAGAATTCTCATTAGCAAACACAAGTTCAATAAAAGCACAGAGAAACCATGAAAAGAGGTGATATGACAGTATGGCTACGCCAAAGCTAATTTACTCTAGGTAGTTGGCCTTGGGATATGGCTATGATAAATAAGTTGAGCTGAAAATAAAAAATAAACTGTCTCCAACCCATCTACATTTAAGAGTACATCCATTTGTTAAGCCGATTAACTGAATTTGAACAAAGCAATGGTTTTAAATAACCCTATAGGAATACTGATATTGGTGATACGATGATATCGGACAGTGTTAGTTGATATATCGGGGAATGATAGTATCGGATACGATACGTGATGGCCGTTTTTAAAACGTTGAGCTGGATAAAATATCTTACAATACTGCAGCATTATGCAGAAAGTTTCCCAGCTCCCACAGATGAGACTATGCATTCTCTCGTTTAAGGAGAAGGATTGATGTTCTCTAAAATAAATACCAATAGAGGCTGTGATCTTGGACCAAAACATTTAGTCCAGTGTCAATATCCCAATTGGTCACATCGATGGTTTTAAATAGCATTATCTAAAGAAATATTAGTATTGGTTGTGGCGTAAAAGTATTGAGCATATCAAACGATACATATCGAAAATCAAATGAGATCACGGCTGTAAATTTTTAAAAATCATTAGCCATAAAAAAAAAAAAAACCTTTATAGTGGTTAAACAGACTATATTTGAATCGTGAATCAACTATGAATGGATACATATTGGGAACCGAGCAATACATATTTTCATTGTAATCAATATACTTGAACGTATATCGAAAGGACAAAATCTTGACACATATTGCTCGAATATATGTGCAAAGTGTAGTGAGTTTTGTAACCAATGCTAGCTATCCAAATAAGAGTGATCTAGTAATCAAATGTTTGACAAGTTTGGGTTTGGACTGTTTTTTTGACTAAAATTCACAAAAAGATAAAATAGGTTGAAATACTTAATAAGACAAAATATCATATCAAATTCATAATCATTTCATTTTTTCTCTTACAAATATCACATCTAACTACAAAAAAATCTAACTATCTTCCAAACACAAAATTTTAACTTACTAAAATAATCAAAAACTAAAATAGCTTAATAAAATGGTAACTTCCCAAACATCCACGTAGTCTTTAGAGCCCTAGCATTTAAGTTTAATCCATCATAGCATATGTTCACCTTCACAATGTGTTTTTGTATGGACAGTAAAATCGTAACATCGCTGCACTATGTCAGTCGTGCCATTCTCCAAGACACCAAGCCTAATTACAGCCATTATGGCCACTAATTCTCAATTTTCAAAACTAACAGCTAAAATCAAAATACCTTAACCACGCCCCTAATTTAGCTAATTCACCTATGAGCAATCAAAATAGTGCCATAATCCATATGGTTCACTTATCAATATCATAAGCAATATTACAAAATAATGCAATAACATTCACGAAAAACGAGCAATTTGGTTCATAAGATAAGAAAATGTACCCTTCAGTTACTTCAATTCTATGAATTTAAACTTCTCTAATCCACATTAAAACAATTAAGCATATACAAATCATTGATATTTAAAAAATAAAAATGCCAAGCAATATAGACTTTAGCGCTAAATTGAATCAGCAATTCAACAAACAGATCTTAATCAACATGTAAAAACGCATTGACAACGAATCATAGAGCTTCGAATATGCAAATTAACATTCAATAGAGCAAAAAAAAAAAAAAAGAGAGAGAGAGAGAGAGAGAGAGAGAGAGCGAGAGAGAGGACCTGGAGCTGGAGAAATCGTAGAGCTTGCCGGTGCTGGAGAACACCATAACTCCTACCTCCGCGTCGCACAGGATCGCCAGCTCCTTCGCCTTCTTCAGCAATCCGTTCCTCCTCTTGGAAAACGTCACTTGCCTGCTCGTAGAATTGTCGATCCTCCTTATGACGATCTTCCCCCTCCCCATCCTTTCTTCGATTTCTACACCTTTTTTTATCGGCAAAAAAAGAAAATTTTATTAACTCGAAAAACAACTTACACCGATTTCTACACTTATAATAAATATTTATAGAGAGTAGAGAGAGAAACGAGAGAAAATACCATAACATCAAGTACCGATGAGGAGAAACCAAAAATTGTAGTGAGAAAAAGTGAAGAAAATCAAGTGCGGATGAGGAAATATTGGACTAGAAGCAAGAATCATAGTCCGAGAAAGTGAAGGAAAGTGAAAGAAAATAAAGGAAAATGCGATTGTGTTTGTTTGTGTGTGTTTGTGAGAGAGAAAGAGAAAGTGAGAGAGAATCGAAGTAAAAATTTAGAGAGAAAACTTACTAAGTTTGGTGATGGAGACAAAAGGGGAGGCTAGAAATCGCCGTTTCGGTCAGTTTGTGAATTAAACATCAACAAGAGCTACATCAACAAGAGCTATATAAGGAAAGTGTGTTCGTATATATAGAAAGATGAGAAAGAAAACCACCTGTATTCCAGGAAGTCCATAATACCGCTAGTAGTTTTTGTAATTTTGTACTGTGAAAGGGCACGTGGACCAATGGGGTAATTTTTTTTTGATAGTGCCGTCCACCGTATGGATCATCGACGCGTGGGACCTGGACATTGGAGTCATGGAATTTCCCCTTTTGGGGAATTTCGTTTTTTCTTTAAAATTAAATTAAATATCTTATTTATTATGGAGTTACAATTTTGCCCTTTTGTTTATGAAATGCCAGATGCATTTCCTAGACTATGTGGTGTTTTGAGAAGAGAGTTAAAATTTAATTTTTTGATTTTTTTTTATAAAAAAAAACGTATAAAAAATGTGAGAGATGATGTGATCCAAAATAGGTTAAAAGTTGAAAAATGACTTTTAACACACTTTTGACTTTTAACACACTTTCCAAAAAATGTCTGTGACCGATTTGGAGACAAATATGTTTTTTAGGTAATAAAAATAGATGTGCAAGCAGGTTACTCCACACATCTATTCGGGAGTATTGTCTTCTAATATTCATAAGCATCTACTAAAATTAACACCGCACATAAGCTATGTTGGGACCAAAGTTAAGGTTCCAGCGTACTTTAGATATTAAGAAATAGGTGTAACCCCAATAATCTACTATGGGGGAGACTTGAACCTATTGAGCGATGTGGACAACCTCCTTACCACTGAACCAACAGATCATTGCTATTTGGTGACAGTAATATATCATGATGTTTAGTGTAGTTTATTTGAGTGATTTATAGCTTATTTTATTTTGAATATTTGTGTCATTGTTTGGTATAATTTATATTTATAGTTTATTACGTAAAATTAATTTTAAAAAATTGAAAAAAAATTTGATCATTTAAAAGCTGGGAAAAATGTGTTTTGATTTATACTTTTTTATTATCAACCTTTTAACTTACAATAAATTGCACCAAATAGGCTCTTAGTATTTATCTTTTAAGTTAGTTTATTGACTTAAACGAAGACTACAAATAGATTGTTGCCTCACTAAGTTTGCTTGTTTAGCATAATACAAATAGATTGTTGCTTGAATAAGTTTGCTTGTTTAGGAAATGAGTTATGTTGGAAATGAGTTATGTTGGAAAATAGAGACAAGTTTTTTCTTTCTTCTCTATTTTTCCAATGATGAATGAAATGTTACAAAAATTAAATATTTCACAAAATTGTAAGATCAAAACATATGGTAAATAATTAAAATTACAATTGCAATGAACACAATGTTCTTAACTAGCCCTTGCAACTTCCATTGCACCATCAAAATTATTTGACGTATATGTTAGGGAAAATTACACCGTTGGTCTCCATACTTTGGTCCTTATGTCATTTTGATTTTTATAATTTCAATTGGTTTGATTTTTACGTATACTTTAGCCATTGCATCATTTTTATCTCTATAATTTTAATTAGTTGGATTTTGACCCTGAATTTTTTTATTTTGTCTCAAATTAGTTCAATTGATTCTAATTGTTAGCATTTTTTTTTATGACAAATGCACACATGAGTGGCATATGTCATGCTTGTAGTCCTTATACTTTGTCTCTTATAAACTTGATCAATTCAGTGACTTATATTTCAACCAATTCAATGAATATTTCTCTTTAGAAACCCTAACAACATTTTTAATTGGAACAAATTGACACTTTAATGGTCAAAATTTGTTCCAATAAATAAATAAATAAATGGTTAAAATTGAATCAATTGAAACTATAGAGACTAAGGGATTACAAGTGTAATTTGTCATATCTGCCATTTCCCATTTGCAATATTACCTTCAAAACAAAACTTCAAAAATAAATAAATAAATAATCTCTCTCTCTCTCTCTCTCTCTACATATTAGTATAGATAGCACAATTAACTGAAAGTCTTCCTAGATATAGATGAAGGAAGGGTTTCACTTTCATGGTAGTTCTAGAAATGTTCAAAATTTTTGAAAAAAAAAAAAAAACCTTTAATAAAAATAGGAAAATTCTACTTTACACACCCCCTTCCACATGTACCCTTAAGCTATGTCATTTTCTTCTTTAGTTACGATCAATTTTCTTCTTTAATTATGACCTTATTTTAATTATGACTCATGAGATCTTTGATTATGTCTCATACATTGTTTGATTAGGATTTTTTTATTTATTTTTAGTTATGACTCAAAAAGTATGAAATTATGTTATTTTCATTTTTAGTTATAAGGTGTATACAGTATACACCCTTATAGTATTTCCCTAAAAATATACAAAAGTTGTTCTTGCTAGAAATAAGAATTGCATAAGAACATTGTGTTTGCTAGAGAAAATAAAATGAATAATTATTTTGGAAGTTTTCGAAGAAAAAAAATAAGGTTCTCTCCCTTGTCTTTGTTTCCCAATTAATAAAAGATTTTCGTGATTCTTTTACCCCTTCATTTGTTGTTTTTTTTTTTTGATTGGCGAAAAAACCTTTATTGATGAATACTAAAACATTACAGCAGAAAAGGAAACAGGTGGGTGCAAAAGTATCATAGCGAACGTACCAATCCCAACTAAATTGGCACCAATATGATCGTCCAATTCCTTGCAAGCACATGATCACAGTTGGTGAGCAACCAACCAGAAGAAAAACAAACAAAAAGCAATAGACAACACAAAAACTAGCACAACAAAAGGTCATCAACAGCTAACATCCAGCAAAGGCACACCTCCACTACTTGAGCATCACCTGCTGGAGAACTCTGTGGCATAAAACCAGTTCAGTAGTAGCACATAATCGTGCAGCCAAAAACAGCCAATATACTAGCAACTAACCCATTACCCTGAGTATCAGAAAACCAGCACTCTATTCACCAACTCAATCAACTCCCAACATTAGACCAGCTAATAAAGTAAAACCAAAATTGTAACTACTACAGAGAGCAACCATTAGCAACCGACTTCCACCATAATCATCAAGACTTATCTATAGTTTCATAAACCCCACTCCTTGAGCCCAAGCTTCCCACAAATACTATAGCAGCCAGAAGCAAACCACTGTAGCATCTCAGACCAAGACATCTCCACTTCTTCACCCATACAGCAAACCAGCGTAAAAAGCAGCTCCAAATCATTGAGGGTCCAACAACAACAGCTCCAATCAAGTAAACATTTTGTTTTGCATTTTTGTGTTGACACAGTACTAATAAAGCATTTAGACCATAATTCTACAACCTGAAAACTTCTACCACCTTCAGCCAGCCAGCATCAGTGAAGTTGATAACAAAATTAGCAAAGCAAAACCAGAACAGATCAGCAAGACCAGAGTAGAGCATATCAACATTTAGCATTCAGCTCCAATCAAAACCAGAAGCAGATAACATATCAGATCAGAGCATATCAGCATTCAGAGCAAACATAATAGAGCTCTCAACATAATAGAGTCACCATCTCAGCCACCTAGACTCAGCCACCATGTCAAACTGAACAACATGGACCAACATAATAGACCACTACCTAAGCAGACCAAAATGAACAAAACAGACCAAAATGGACAGTCACAGAACAGAATAGACCAAAAACAGACTAACACAGAGCACACTATCATAACTAACACAGCAGCCACCATGCTCAATCCACCCTTGGCCATTTACTCAGCTTCCAGTGAACACTACTCCCATATGAAGAATTCAGCTAATTAAACAAACTAATATATGCATAGCTCAGCTCCCATTCCTAATGCAATGTTGAACCTGCTGCAAATTAAATACTATATCAGTAACAGAGAACTCTAAATTAGCTAGAGATGATTTGGCCCACAAAGCTATTCTTGCTTTGACAACCTCACATAGTTCCTCAAAGTTTGGCTGAGAACCATTAAAAACACAATCATTTCTATGTTTCCATGTGGACCACAAGACAACCAAAGAAACAATCTTCTACAACAACTTCTCAATCTTTTTCATTCTGCAAAATGACCACCATTGTAACAGCCCTTCACTGTGTTTGACATAGCTCATTGAAAACCCCACCATTTTCGAATATGAGACCACAGCAGCCAGACAAATGGACAAAAGAGCAATATATGATTGACAGATTCCACCGAATTTTGACAGAAGACACAACTCACAGTGGCAGATGCATCTAAAATCCCAATTCTCTATAGGAAACTAGAGGTTTTCGCCTTGCCTTGCCAAGCCAACCACCCAAAAAAATTGACTTTAGGTGGAGCATAGTTACTCCAAACTACCACTGCCATTTTCCTAACAGGGCCTAAGAAGAATTCATTTCTTTTATACACTGATGCAACTGAAAACAACCCAGATGGATCAGTTTTTCACTTCCAAACATCAGGTTTGGTGGCTCTCATAGCTGGAGCATTCATAAGGGAGAAATAAAGCCTACTAACTTCCTCCTCTTCCCAAGCCAACAGGGGTCTCCTGAATTCTAGATTCCAGACTTGAATCTCTCATCTCCTATTATAAAAATCAGACACTACTCCTACTTTATCAATGGATAGAGAAAAAGTCTGGGAAATTCCTCCTTGAGACACAACTCCCCAGCCCATTTATCCAGCCAAAAATGGGCTCTCCTACCATTCTCCAACTCAATTGCAGAGTTTGTAATGTACAGATTGTGTAACACAGGCGAAGCTAGAATTGCAGTAATGATATCGGACCAAATTCTTGATCCTCTGCTGTTTCCTTCCAGACATGGTAGCCATCTTCCACCCCCCATATTATACTTAGAGCATATAACATCCTTCCATAGAGTATGATGCTCTGCCCCAAACCTCCACCACCACCATTTCATCAGTAAACACATATTCATAACTGTGGTTCTTTTGATCCCCAAACCTCCCAAATGCTTACTCTT